TGATTTGCTTTGTTTTGTTTTTTTGAATGTCCAGAGGACCAGATTAAAATTTTTTAGATTTTTCTACCTGGATTATTGAGCATGCATCAGGATATAAGGACTACAGGCCATGTATTTGTTTTGTGACCTTTAGTGAAGGTTTTTGTTTGGATTAAGGCAATAAATGCCTCCATATTTCACCACAGATTAATTCTTCCTCCCATATCTTTTGAAATCAAACTGCAGAACACAAAGTAATTTAAAAAGGAATGGTTAGAAAATCAATTCAAATTCAATGCATTTCTTAAAAATTAAATGAAGAGGAAAAAAAAACAGGAGCAGGACAGGAGTGGGAGTGATTCTGACCAGGAGCAGGACAGGAGCAGGAGTCATGTTACCAGGAGCAGGACAGGACAGGATTAATTTTTTTACTCTGGACCAGGATTGGGACAGGACAGGATTTTTTCTGTTGGACCAGGACAGGACAGGAGTGAAAATCCACTCCTGTGTCATCCTCTAGTGCGGAGAGAGATAAAAAAAACGAGTGGCAGCTTAGAGCGGGGGAAGGGAGAGACAGCTGAGTTGTCTGTACCTGCAGTTTAGAGCTGGATGGAGAGACAGAAGTGACGCACTTTGTTTGGTTTTAGCATTTTAGCTAGCTAGTATTGCGCGCTGCTAATTAGCGTCACACCAGTACCAACAGGTGGAGGGGGGGTGCGCAATTCGGTGTGGTCATTCGGCGCGCTCAGTTCTGTTAATGGGGCGGGACGCCCTGACATATTACTTCATGAAATTAGCATATCATGATATCATTTTTTTGCCCAGGCAAGCTTTTTTTTTACTGGTATTATCGTGAACGATATGATATGGCCCAGCCGTACTGTAACGTGTCACGTGGTTTCAGCATGCAGGCAAGTAAAACTCCAGACATATGACAAACAGACTACGTGTTTACACCCAGAGCTGTATAGAGCTGCCCTACAGCTTGTATGTCTATGGTACTAGTTACGCCCACAGACAGGGTTCCTGTGTGCAGTGCGTGTGTTGTCGAACGGCTTTGACAACACACACAACTTTTTGCTTACGAACAGAAAGTTGCTCTGCGTTTTTCTGCAAGAAGAAAGACGGACAGCAGCCTCCCCTCTTCCTCTCAGCATTAAAGTCAGTCTGTGAGTGTTAAACAGACTGAATCAACATTCCACGGCCCGACTCCTCTTCATCAAAGAACTCTGAGGACGGAGCTGTGTCTGTGTTTCAGCTGGTAAGTTTATGTTTGTTAATGTTACTGCAACTTAACACGTACATCGCAGTGAATTAAACTAGAATCCATGTAACGCTAACTTTAAGATATTCATCCTCCAGCCATCCATTTTCTTCCGCTTATCCAGGGTTGGGTCACGGGGGTAGCAGCAAAGTAGGGAGGCCCAGACTTCCCTCTCCCCAGCCACTTGGTCCAGCTCCTCCGGGGGAATCCCGAGGCGTTCCCAGGCCAGCCGAGAAACATAGTCCCTCCAGTGTGTCCTGGGTCTCCTCCCGGTGGGACTTGTCCGGAACACCTCACCAGGGAGGCGTCCAAGAGGCATCCTAAACAGATGCCCGAACCACTTCAACTGGCTCCTCTCGATGTGGAGAAGCAGCGGCTCTACTCTGAGTCTCTCCCGGATGATCGAGCTTCTCACCCTATCTCTAATGGAGAGCCCAGACACCCTGCGGAGAAAACTCATTTTGGCCGCTTGTATCCGAGATCTCGTTCTTTCGGTCACAACCCAAAGCTCATGACCATAGATGAGGGTGGGAACGTAGATCGATCGGTAAATTGAGAGCTTTGCTTTTTGACTCAGCTCTCTCTTCACAACAACAGACTTGTACAGCTTCCGCTTCATTGCAGATGCTGCACCTATCCGCCTATCGATCTCACGTTCCATTTTTCCCTTATTCGTGAACAAGACCCCAAGATACTTTTCTGCCATCAACGATCCAAAGAGTGACTGCTGGCATCAACCCTAACCTCAGTGAATCCAGTGAACTGCTGGTTGAATGTGAGGGACACTATGCCAATGCTATCAAACTGGCAACCAGGTATTTGTGTGTGCAACAAGCATCATCCACACCCTCAGAGTGAACACTTCCTACTGATTCAGACATGTTGATTTTTCTGAAGAAAAACTGTTCAGTTAAAACAACAAATTCAGTGAAAAGGTCCTCGGTGTGTAGCAGTGAGCATTAGACACTGACGTGTCACTGGTTTGCAACTGTTCTTATGACCTGAAAATTATTTGTTTATTTTTATGTAAGAAAACTGCTTGGAATAGAAATACCAAAGTTAAAAAATAAAACTCACAATTTGTACTATAATGTGTAACATAATTTTATTCTTGTTAGAATTAATAGTAATTACAAAATTGGTATCGAAAAAAGAACCGTCCAGGAACCGACACCGAAGTGAAGGTACCGAAGTGAAGGTACCGACACAGGTACCGATACCAATTTTTTTTTAAATGTACCCAACCCTAGATGGATGTCATAGTGGTGTTCAATAACTTTAAAGCCGGCACATCAACAATAGAATACGTACGTAGATCCATAGCTTTTAAACTTTTACATCTTGTGTTATTGCTTTGGACCAATCTGAATTACTTGATAAAGGTTGTTTAAATGCTGCTGTTATCGCTCTTTCCACCAACCAAGCTGCTATTCTGTAGAAGACTTTCACGTTCTGATGATGTCGTTTCAAGCATGTTAACAAGTTAGATGTGTTGCCTGCTGCAGATCCAATCTCCATGAAACAACGTCGACACACAGCTTTGGATTTGCACTTGTCTTTTAACAAGAAAGCCATAATGTTCCCAAACAGGAGACCACAAAAAGATGGCTTGTTCGTTGCCTGCTAGGATGCTAATGCTACGCGTGCTGCAAGATAATAGTACAGTGCTGAAACATGTTTAGGAACTTTAGTTCCGTGGCACATAATTTCTCGTTAATAAAATTTAATGAGTGAAAAAATAACTGAAACGGTACGCACATGGACCAAACCTAACATGCCGTACCGAAACGGTTCAATACACCCACATGTACCGTTACACTCCTAATATACATATATATATATATATATATATATATATATATATATATATATATATATTGCACATAGCTAACATATACTACACAGGTTGTGTGACAGGTTATCACACAGGTATTGAGTAACATTTAGATGAATTATGATGTTAAGGTAGTGACATACATGATACAGCCACAAATTGCAGCAGCAATAAACATTAGCTGTCACAGATGTGGCTTGGTGCAACGTTATTGTCTGTTGTTCAGTATTATTATCAAAAGTTCAGTAATCTGACAGCTTGTGAGTAATAACTGTATATAAGTAATAATAATAAGTGATAAAGTACATCTGGACCTGTCATTCTGTGTTTGTTTGTTCCTCCGTCTTGTTCCTCTCAAACCCAGCCTGTCGAAAGAGATGGCCGCTTGTCCTGAGCCTGGTTCTGCTAAAGATTTCTTCCTTTAAAATGGAGTTTTTCCTTTCCACTGTCTCCTTTGTGCTTGCTCAGGATGAGAGACAGTGATGAAATGAAGATTCAACACAATTTGCTGCTTCCTTAGATAGATAACTGTCATTATTTGGCTTTTATAATGTATGTGAATGTTTCTGTTCAGTGCCGTGAGACGACTTCTGTTGTGACGTGGCATTATAGAAATAAACTAAATTGAATTGATTTGAAAGTTATTTTAATAATTTTTGTTGTTGTTGTTGTTTTGTCAGTTTTGGTGAGGACACGTAAATTAGATGTTTAATCTCAATGAGATTCTCCTGGAAAAGGAAAAATAAAGAAAATAATCAAAATTATAAATTTAAACAATTTGAATATTTTAATTAAAATTCAGAATCCACACCTGCAACTGCTTAAATTTGGGGTCAACCTATTTCAAGATGGGTGCCACAGTTATCGGACCTTAAGATCATAAAAATGGGTATAACTCAGATTTTCAGATATTGTGACAAATTTGATGCAGTTGTTGACCATCATCCCCAACACATACTAAAAGCCATATATACACAATGGATGACATATTTGTTTATACTTTGGCATTAACTGTTCAAATAAGTCTTGTCTATTAGTTAGCAAAATATCTCTTGAACCACTGGGCAGGTTTTAATGAAACCTCCAAAAGGTAATTAGTAGCACCTACTGGGTCACATCTATTCATTCAGCTTGATAAATTATAGAAACAGTTTTAATCAAAAGCGTTAACAGATTTCATTTGTTTCCCACAGCTGCGTCTGAATGGAGGTCGTAGCCCCTATGAAGGCCGTGTGGAGGTACTTGTGGAGCGAAACGGGTCCTTAATTTGGGGGACGGTGTGCAGTGTGGGCTGGGGCACCATGGAGGCCATGGTGGTCTGCAGACAACTGGGCCTGGGCTTTGCCAGTAACGCCTTTCAGGTATGAGTCGCTACAACAAATCAAAAATTTTATTGCAATATGACTTTATTTTCCATAACATTCCATGAAATAAAGATTATCTTTGACATTTGGCTCATAAATGCAATAAAAAAATTGAAATTGCAATAATAAAAAACACTGCTAAAACAATCATAAAAAATAAAAAAAAAACGCTCTAATATAAAGTAAGATAAGATAGAACTTTATTGATCTCACAGGAAAATCTTGCGCCAGAGTTTCAGTACAAAGGAACACAAAGAAGGAATCACACAAGGTATAAAAATAACAGAGAACATATAATACCAGCAATTAAGTTCTAAAACAAGTCAGGTGCAGACAGAAACATTACAGTGTTTATTGTAGTGCAGAGTTAATTTATTGTATAGAAAAGGGGAGGAGTTGAAAAATTTGATAGCCACAGGGAGGAAGGACTTCCTGTAGCATTCTGTGGAGGACCTCGGTGGTCTCAGTCTATGACTGAAGGTGTGTGTCCTGTGTTCAGTCACAGGGAGACATGGACAAATCTCCCGTCCATCACAGGGACACCAGGACAGGTCTCCAGTCCATCACAGGGACACCTGGACAGGTCTCCAGTCCATCACACGGACACCTTGACAGGTCTCCAGTCTATCACAGGAACACTCTGGACAGGTCTACAGTCCATCTCACGGACACATAGAGACAAATTATTTATTTTTTTAATCAATCCATTATCTTTTACCCGCTTCTTCCATTTTGGGTCATGGGGGTCACTGGTGCCCATGTCCAGCAATCACTGTGCGAGGGGCAGGGTACACCCTGGACAGGTCGCAAGTCCATCACAGTGCCACATAGAGACAAACGAGACAAACAACCATTCACTCTCTCACTCACACCTAAGGACAATTTAGAGTTACCAATCAGCCTAACATGCATGTTTTTAGGCTCTGGGAGGAAACTAGAGTGCAGCAGTCCCTCGTTTCTCGCTGGAAATCCGTACCCTGAAGCCCAGTGATAAGTGAAAAACCACGAAGTAGTAGTAAGTACCGGTAGTAGTTTATTATAAAAACATATGTGTGTGTGTGTGTGTAT